AAAAAAAAAGAAAAAAAAAAAAAGAGAAAGGAAAAGGATGGAAAAGAGAAGAGGAATGTTTAGTGACAGCCTGTGAGCCATAGACAGTTCAGGACAACCCTCTCCCTTTCCCTCCTGCCATGGTACCTGGGAGTTATGGACAGTGCCAAGTATAGCTGGATCCCCAAGATCATTCTCTTCCTCCTCTTCCTCCTCCAGTTCTGGGTCCAGATCCTCCTCTTTTTCCTCCTCCTCCCCTTCATTTTCTTCTTCTTCCAATTGGCCGGCAGACACCAGCTCCTCCTCAGGAGCCAAAGGGCCACAGGTCTTAGCTGGCTCTTGGTTTAAGTGTGGGCCAGAGGAGAAGGTAAGATGGCGGCTCAGGTGTGAGTCTTGTCTAGAGGGGCTGCTACTCAGTAGCACTTCTGTTCATAAACCATCTCCAGCACCACCTTTGAGCATAATGTCTCCTGTTCTGTAGGTTTAACTCAGCCTTCCTACTCCCAAAGTGCCTGAACCATCCCCCACTAAGTCAAATGGAACCTGAGCCAGGTGTGGTAGCTTGTGCCCGTAGTCCCACCTACTCGGGAGGCCAAGGTGGGAAGATCACTTGGGCCCAGGAGTTTGAGATCAGCCTGGGCAACACAGTGAGACTGTTTCTAAATAAATAAATCAGAATTTAAAAAGCAAACAAAAGGAATCTGGCAGATGCCAAACACCTTCACTTCCCACATCCCCTCTTCCATTGCTTCACTGGGTTCTAGCACAGCCTTTTCCATCTGCTCGGCACCACCCAACGCCCTTTCTGTTGCCTCTTTGAACAAGTTCCAGCTGGCCCAACTCACTGCAATTTAACCCTACTGTGTGCCAGATACTTTATGTGCATATGTTCATTTAGCAGTCATATGAGGCTGTCTGGGTTGTTACTGGTAATTTCACTAGGTTGGTGAGAAAAATAAAGCCCAGAAGAGTGACCTCTCAGTCACCTACTGTAATATAATTAGCAAGTGAAAGAATTTGGAATAACTTCCAGTGACTCTGGGCATCCAAGCCCATATGTGAAACAGACCAGCAAGTTCCGCACGCTGGGGCAATTTACATAACACCACTTATATGAGTGTTGATACCTTCAAGGCATTTCATCTTGGCAGGCTGCTGGACTTCCTTCTTGTCTGTGTCCTCCAGTGAAAGAGCACTGCCAGCCTCTGGAAGGTAAACCTTGAGACAAGAAAGAGACCAAGAGGCACCATCCTCAGTCAGTAAGGATGACATCGCACCCTAGCCATGGAATCCTCCCAGCAAGATGATTAGAGAATTCTGGGCCATGGTCTCAAGGAAAGAGACCCTGGGCTGTCAGACTGCCATAAACCCCCACCTTCCCAGCTCAGCTCAGCTCTAAGGAGCTGTCCCATAAAGGGGCAGAAATGAAGAACAGGGCTAGGAGTTGGAAGAGAAGTACTTCCCAACGGACACCACCAATCACCGTCCATGTGTGGTGAGGCCTCGTTGCTGACACTCACCACCTGACTGTTGCTGCCCATTCTGTTTAAGTTATCCATAGCAGCCTGGGCCAGGACCTGTTTGCTGCTCCTGGCTTTAAAAGTCCCAGCTCCTCCCCTGCTCACCCATTAAAGGGCCAACATCCTCCAACGATTGGGGCCTGATGGAAGTATGAGAACATAGCTTAAGATTTTAAAAATCCTTGAACAGAGAAAAGACACAAACTACATTTTTAGCCATCCATGGTTTTCAGTATAGTTTATTGGAATTGATATTTGGGGACAGATATTTAAAAAGAGGATTCCTGTTTTCCACACTCTTCATTGGTACTTTGTGAGGTTGCATTTTATTTAATCCCTAGGTTTTGCTTTAACAAAATTGGATAGGAAAGTCCTGGGTAGATCCTGGGGAGGATGCCTAGCAACCAAGTTCCTGGCGCTTCAGGGCAGTGTACTTGAAGCCCTCAAGTCCACCTGATGATGCTTGCCCTTCACTGGGTCATGTGAGCTTAAGTCAGCTACTCAGCTCTGACTCATGAGGGACCCTTATGAATTTGAAAGTCAGATATTCATGGTAAAAACGCTTTTGCATGAGATACATAATCTTACATCCTCTTGGCTGCTCTAATGGCAAACTGGACCAGAAGCTCAGGAGTAAAAACAAATCAACAACAACAAAAAACAAAAACATAGCTACCCAACACCCTCCCAAGCCTCATCTAACCTTCAAGCAGCCCTGGGTTCTATGCCCACATCCTGTGTTCAGCTGAAACCCACATGACTTTGTAAAACTTCTGAATAAAAATAAAAACTAAGTTAATTTCCCTACATCAAAAATGAAAGTTAGGACCCTATGTCATGGTGATAAGACCATGATTCTTGGTGCCTTTAAGGAAAATATTTATTTCAGAAGTTTTACTGAAGGTCATAACTATATGGCTGGGGGAACAAATATAAGTAGCTTGAATGTTACTGAAAAACTTCTCGTATATCTGAATCGGGTTCTGGCCTTTTTTTTTTTTTTTTTTTTTAGAGTCTCATTCTGTTGCCCAGGCTGGAGTGCANTTTTTTTTTTTGGTAGAGTCTCATTCTGTTGCCCAGGCTGGAGTGCAGTGGCATGATCTGGGCTCACTGAAGCTTCCACCTCCCAGGTTCTAGAGATTCTCCTGCCTCAGCTTCCCAAGTAGCTGGGATTACAGGTGGCCGCCACCATGCCTGGCTAATTTTTGTATATATATATTTTTCAATAGAAACAGGATTTTGCCATGTTGGCTAGGCTTGTCTTAAACTCCTGATAAGTAACCCGCCTGCCTTGGCTTTGCAAAGTGCTGGGATTACAAGTGTGAGTCAGCACACCTGCGTGGGTTCTGGCCTTTTTTGGTAACGTTATTCAGCTGTTTCTCTCAGGAACTTCCTAATAATGTACTTTGGCACTATTAACAAAAGGACCAAATAATGAATTTCAGTGTTCCAGAAGTGATTCATTAGGTTGTTGCAGACCAGATCTTAAGGAGAAACTTGTTGCATGAAGATTTTCATTCAAGAGACTTCAGGTATTGACTAGTACCAAAGCAGGTGGACTAGGGCTCAGTCTTTAAGATCACAGCCCTGCCCTAGCTGTTTGGAGTTTCACTTGGGACCTACTGTTTTGTATGAAGATCCCCTACCCTTATCTGTAGTCTCATATGTCTACTGCTCTCCTAGATGTTCCAACTTTCCTGCCATCATTTAATTATGTTAAGTTTAAGCCAAGACTGTGCTAGGCTTGGGGTATGACAATGAAGAAAACAGATGCTTCCCACAGCCTGTTAGAGCTTCCCCTAGAATAAGAAGTACATACAGGTACCCGGGATTGTTGGATCAAATTTTAAAAAGATATTAGAGTGGTTCATAGCTGTAACCCAGCACTTTGGGAAGCTGAGGCAGGAGAATCACTAGAGCCCAGGAGTTTAAGACAAGCCTGGGGAATACAGTGAGACCCCATCTCCATTAAAATTTTTACTTAAAAAAAAAAAGACATTAGAAATATTTACATATGCTACATAAAACACTCTTTTATGGGGAGATTTTTAATCCATTGTTTCAGGTTCTTTAACAGCAGTAGATCTAGTCTGGCTTTCAATTTCTTCTTGAGTTTTAAGTTATATATTTTCTAGGAATTTGTCCGTATGTCCATTTCTTGTAAATTTTCAAATTTGTTGGCATAAAATTGTTCATAGTATGAGTATTTAAAAATCCATGCTATAACTGTACTTTGTCTCCCCCACCCCCTTTTAAAAATTTATTTTGAGACAGTCTTGCCTGTCACCCAGGCTGGAGTACAGTGGCACGATCTCAGCTCACTGCACCTCCACCTCCCATGTTCATGTGATTTTCCTGCCTCAGCCTCCGGAGTAGCTGAGATTACAAGTGTGCACCACTATGCCTGGCCAATTTTTGTATTTTTTTAGTAGAGATGGGCTTTCACCATGTTGACCAGGCTGGTCTTGAACTCCTGGCTTCAAGTGATCCACCTGCCTCAGCCTCCCAGAGTGTTGTGATTACAGGCGTGAGCCACTGTGCCTGGCCTTTTGTCTCCCTTTTTTTCCTATCATTATTCATCTCCTCTTTTGTTCTTCTTTACAGAGTTTGTCTATTTTATCAGTCTTTTTAAAGAACCATATACGTCAGGTTTTCTTCAGGAAATAGATGGTGTACTCAAACTGGATAATCTAATAAAGAGATATTTATAAAAGTATAAAAAGAGTATAGTGAAACCACAAGTAATAGCAGAATCCCCTGGGACTGGGACAAGAGGATGGAGCAGTCACCAGAACCTGGAGACAGAGAAGGCTGCCTGGCTTCAGATAATGTCCGCATCTGTGCCGTATGAGTGCCAGTGTGGCAGCGCTCTCCTAAATTATCCCGTTTCCCTTTGGAGCTGGGATCTGCTCCCTGCCCTTGCCCCTGAGGTCTGGGGATGGGAATGGCTCCCCACTCTTGCTAGTTCCAGGGTGATGGCAAATATAAAACCATAAACAAAGTCAAAATAACTTCTTTTTTTTTGAGACTGGGTCTCTCTGTGTTGCCAGGGCTGGAGGGCAATGGCACAGTCATAGTAGTGGCAGCCTCACCTCCTGGGCTCAAGTGATTCTTCCACCTTAGCTTCTCAAGTAGCTGGGACTACAGGCATACACCACCATGCCTGGCTGGTTTTTTCTTCTTCTTCTTTTTTTTTTTTTTTTGTAGAGACACAGTCTCACTATGTTGTCCAGGCTGCTCTTGAACTCCTGAGCTCAAGTGATCCTCCCATCTTGACCTCCCAAAGTGCCAGGATTACAGTCCTGAGCCACCACACCTTTATTTTTCTCTAGTAATCTTAAATTTACCTTTGAAAGTCATTTAAACAATCTTTAAGGTAAAAATTCTTTTTGTTGTTTTTGAAGACGTTAAGAGCTCAGAAAAGAGATATTAATGTTAAGCTCAGATCTTTTTAGCAATAGAACCTTCAAAATTGCTTGTTATCACATATTATACAATCAGTAACAATGTCAAAATGCTGTTGACAGATAACATAAAAATACGTTTGCTATTTTCTCTGACATTTACTTTAAAAATCCTATACTTTAGTTAAGTGCAAATGTCTGTTAACACAGAATGTCTGTGTCCTTATGGAGACTGAGAAATCTTTGACCATGCTTTTTACTTTTTCATAGAAAAACTGTCCCAATTTCAATAATAATTTAAATTTGTATTTTAATTATAAAAATATGAGCATTGGAGAATACAGGCTAAGTGTATAAAACTACTATTTTTTAAACTGATATTTTATGTTAAAATATATTTGGTTATAAAAAACTCAAAAATGTTATTGTTTCTCAAAACTATGACTCTATTTACATTATAGGAAAGGTGCATATGTAGACAGAGAAAAGTTGAGACTTTGTCTGCCAAAACTACGTTCAATCTATAATCAGGTAATTCTCCAATTATTTATTTATTTATTTATGTATTTATTTATTTATTTATTTTGAGGTGGAGTTTCGCTCTTGTTACCCAGGCTGGAGTGCAGTGGCGCAATCTCGGCTCACCGCAACCTCTGTCTCCTGGGTTCAAGCAATTCTCCTACCTCGGCCTCCTGAGTAGCTGGGATTACAGGTGCGCGCCACCATGCCCAGCTAATGTTTTGTATTTTTAGTAGAGATGGGGTTTCACCATGTTGACCAGGATGGTCTCGATCTCTTGACCTCGTGATCCACCCGCCTCGGCCTCCCAAAGTGCTGGGATTACAGGCTTGAGCCACCGCGCCCGGCCT